CGCGTGCGCGTGTGCGCGTGTGTGCGTGTGCGTGTGTGTGTGTGTGTGTGTGTATAATAGTATATTTAAAAAAGCAGTAGTTGTCCTTTATTTAATTAATTGAAAAAAGAGAAAAAAGTCTCTGCAGAACAATTATGAAATTTTGTAATATAAAATCAATTAAAACAAACTTTCAAAAATCCTGTTCGTCTGTCCAAGTTGAGATGAATATTCTTTATTTCTCCGTACTCAGAAAACTTGTCATGAATGTCATCTTCCTGAGCCTCTTCATGAACAGATGTCACAAAAAGGATCCATCCCTCCACGGCTGTAATGTACAGAGTGAAAATTATTTAGAACACAGGAAGGGCGAAAAAATTAAGGAAAATAGTCATTGGCCAGAAGAAAAATCAAGTTTTGAAATTTATGAAAATTTTGCTTTCTGAAAAACGAACTTAAATTTTGCAAAACACTTATATTAGAAATAAAGTGATTCAGTTCATATGAAGATAAAAGAGAGAGACTCGCTCAATTATAAAATTGGTCATCCACACTTCACGTTTCTTAACTGAACATTGTCATAGCTTCAACAGTCCAAAATTATTATATTCCACAAAGAATCTTTTCCTTAGAGCACTTCAAAACTTTGACAAAGCGCAGCGTTGCACAATAAAAATCTGACACGAGCCAAAGATTGTTTTCCTCGCTCAAAGTATAACAATAAGGTATCCTTCAGCCCATCCACAATCCTGACTGGCATCAATAGGAAATTGGAATTACCAAACTTAAAAGGATAGTATGATGCATCATCATGTTTCAATGCTACTCTTTTGTTGTGTAATCATAACAAATCTTTATATCTTTTCTGTATTTGAATCTCATTAATGTTATGCTCAATGTGAAATAAGGATATCAGCTAGTAAATCATTATCTGATAGAAAATAGTTAGCATTCAAACTATTAAAACAATAATTCATAAAATTGCATCACATGTGCATCAACATTTGATTATAAAAAAAATCTTCCAATTATCCTGTAAATCATTAATACTTACATCTCTGTGGACCAGGTTCTTCATCACCATCAACTTCCATCGACTCATAATCTCGAATATCTTCACGAGCTGAATTTTCAGCTCCAAATCCTCTCCCTTTTCTTTTCTTAGCTTTTTCTTTCAAGCGAGCAATCCCCTCTACAAACAAAACAAAATTACAGATTGTAATTAAAAACATGACAAATACTGAAGACCTACTGACCAATAAATGCACTTAATTGTCAATAAATTCTAACCACCCGTTAAAAGTAGAGTAAAATTTTACTATCAAACACTAAAGCTTGCTTTCAGTACAAACCATGCCCTACATAAAAAGGTTCATATTATAATCAAAGTAAATTTGTGCCAATGTATTGAAATACATGGGCCAAGAGCAATCAAGAATTAAAAACATATTTATTAACGTAATTAATACGAATTTAATCCAACGTAAATCTATTTAAACCCAAAATATTATCATTATTAATCATTGCTTGAAATATAAATAATATAATTATAATATTCACAATTAAAATATAACAAACTTAAACAGCTCAAGGTAATTTACATTTGTTAGTTTTTCATTTATGAACAGTTTTATTGTATTTTAATTCACACATTACTTCTACTTATTACTTTGTACCTTCTGTGGTGTAACAGTATATTACACTGTTATACCCACGTATGCGGGATCAAACTGAAGCAAAGCTGTGAATTTGTAAAGGCCAAAAATAAATCCCTCATTACGCCTTCCTTCGGAAGGAAAGTAAAGCCAGGTGTCCCATTTTGTTGATTTACTACATGTAAAAGACCCACATGCCTAAATGACGCTTCTGAGATAAATTTAAATTGCATGTTTTTAGCCCAAGAAATTATCCTTTCTCGGCTAGTTGTCCTATCAATGATACAGTGGCTTTTAATCTACACTTACACTACATTTAATCTCTTCACCATCACCCTATCAAATGTCTACGGACCCACTTCAATGAAAAACAATGAAATAGTATAAAATTAAAATGGATAATATAATAGTATAATAATAGATAAAACAATAATAAATCAATTCACGTGCTTTATTGTGCTGCAAATGCAGGAATTTTAATGAACAATTGCTTCGACATTGTACCTTACTATTCATAATAGTGCCAATAATGAAAAACTGAAAATACAATTTTTTGTGAGTGTTAGGCTACTATAGCATTACTAATTTTACACACGGCTGGAATAAATGAAAGTTAGGCCATTATTGCAACAATTTATGGAGAAGTGGATTGCCAGATTTATTTTAATAAAAAAATTCATTAGGCAGTATACCTGCACTTCCACAAAAGTTTTTTAATTGATGTTACATAGGTGGTATAAAATCTATCAGTCATTAAATTTTTCTTCTTTACAATCCCTGTCAAATCAGCTTTTAATACTATTTATAAATTAATCCATTAGTTAAGTTATAGTTTTATTGATAAAATGAACATGATTGTAATTGCCAGAGAGACCACTAATCTCCAAAAAATGTGGGTTAAGCCACAGTTGTCGTGATGCACTCATACGTACGCATTCATTGTTTTTGAGAAGTTTTGAAGGTACTTAACTGGATTTGGAGAGTTGAAGGATTGCTTGTGTTAAGTATGTATAATGTAAAATATGCTTCTATTGTGTGTACATTTTGTTTCTTGATTATTTTGTATTATATTATTGTGCTGTGTTATACAAAAATTACTTGTCTCGTCATATATTATGACAAGATGGATGTAATCCAGATAATAAATAATATGGACAATTAATTGTGGACAACTTTATCATTATTTCATCCACCTCAGCTTTGGTTTCTTCAATGTTTGAATCAATTAACACATGAATTTCCAATTTGTGCTTTGACTTCTGAATTTCTTCCTTACAGTTTATGGAAATACCACCAATTTTCCTGAGATGTACAATTCCCATTTTCACCTTTGTATGGTTTAATTGCTCTTTACATATTTTCTTAGTTACCTCTCCTGCCTAGTTTTGATTCTTTGCTCATAATAAGTTCTTCTTTGAGTTCTTTAACTACATCTGGGTAGAGTGCTTTCATCTGTTTATTTTGATTTCAAATTCTCATGTTTTGTTTTATAAAGCTTCTACTTTATAAATCATGTGATTAAAATCAAATAATTTTTTTTAAAGTTATTTAAATCGATATTTATTATTTCTAATAGTAGAAAATATATTTGTATTTTAAATATTTGTAAAATTACCCAGATAAGAAGACAAATTCAATCAAAAAGTATTAGATTATATTACATTTCATATAAACTTTTTCACATAATTGAACTATTTTGAGAAAATAAAATGCATTATAATGTACAATAAAATGATCAAACTTATAAAACAAAGAGCAATAAACAATTTGTAGGAGAGTTATATACTAATGGCATTTGGTGGTTGATTAGTTTTTATCCACCATTTAATTGTCTGTAGATAAAAACTAATTTACCAGCAATACCGCTCTAACACACACCGAGCTAGTTTCAAGAAATACATGTTTAAATCTTCGAAGATATCCATAATTCTAGACTTATATTACTATGTTTGCTAAAGCCACTTAAAGTACTCCTTAAAGAGGATGAGTATTAATAAAAATGGAATTTTATCAATACTCATTTAAAGAACAGAATTAATATTGTAAAAGCTAATGAAAACAATTGTTGAACTTACGAGTTTTAATAATATAAACTTTATTCTGTACGTGTACATTGGTAAAATTACATTTTAAGAGGGAAGCATACGTCCCACTGACCATTAAAGAATGAGTGGGAAACTAGGTGCAAGTAGCAAACATTATACCCCTTTTTGTATTTTTTGATAACAGGACAACTATGAAGTAGAATTTAGTACTTCAAGAACTGTCTAACTGTTTTAAGTTTTTTGATGAATTCAGTTGTTTTCAACAGTAAGTGATTTTTTATTAGGGCTGTATTGCAGGAGTTCCCCCCCCTCCCAACATCCTCGATCTGGACACAACCATGTTTTGAATACCAAAAAATAATATAACAAATGGTAATTAGACAGTATTGATTCGAATCGAATTCTATAAAACCATAATACGCCCAAATTGTAAATATAACAACTTACGGTCTCCTTCATCATCAACTTCAAACTCCTCAGCATTATCGATGTCCAAAACATCCGCCATGCTTGTTTTGGTTTAATTTGTTGGAAGTTAAAGAACGTAAATGCTTTTATCTAATTTTGTCGAAACTTATAATTATGATAAGTGTCTTAACAACTTCGCATTTCATCAACTGCACTCAAATTCACAACGGATGCACACCGCTCACCATAATTCACGGCACGCACACCAAACACAAAACATCAACATGAACGAACTTCAGTGGACCACAATCGAATTGCGCTGCATAAGTTCGATTTCGAGTTGGCGCACGCGCAGACGCTCAAGTCGATTGACTCTAGTGTGGGCCACTTGGCCACTTCCTATCCTAATTTGAATGGCGACGCTGTATATCGCGATATATACTCTCTGATATACCGTGTTTACACACCAACTTACTCTGGCAGAGAATCTCTGAACTACTCGTAGAGCATGTGCAACATTACTCGGTAAATAATAGAACCCTCCCAGCTTCTTTCCAACCACGCTTACACGTTCTGAAGAACGACGAGCCAACGCCATATACACTGCAGACACAGAGTAGCGAAGGTTTTATTTTTAGTTTGTCTCTTAGTCATATTGGTTTGTCTATAACGGCAGTGTGTAGTAGATGTAGATGGCGTTGACTTGACACATGAGCACACGAGATCGATGACTGACCATTGGCCGAAAAAATACTGTGAAAGGTTGCGTTATCTGCCACACGATATCGTTAGTCTTCCAGCTTCACTAAAGTTTTCCAGCCTAAAGACATTTAATAAAACTTACTGTGTTACCATATATTAATTTAATTACAATTAGATTGTATTCATCCACGGTGTTTCAGTCTTCACAGCCGTACTCATGAAAATTAGAATATATTTAATCTTCCTTGTACGCGCTTAAACCAAAGACTTTAACCATGGAACAAATCTTACATTCCCTAGTGGCACCTATAGCGGTATTAATATATAGTATATAATACAGCTATTCTCTACTATACTAGGATTTATTTAAAAACGCTCTTGACGTACATCAGCTGTTCACACTTTCGTCATGTGACGTCACTGTAGCCACATTAAGCTCTCGATTGGATGAAACAGCAACAGCTAATTACGTCATGTGCACGACTAAATAAATCGTACTATATACTCCTTGTGTCATCTGAGTGGTGCAGCCTGGGTCCTCGGTACAGTCTTTCGTTGGTCTTTCGTTTTCGCTTGAGAGGAGTCGATCCAGAGTTGTTACCTCCGTCCTGAATTCCTAGGCAGTGGTTGGCGTTGAGCTATTTTTCAGAAACTTGTTGACAGGTATTCATTTGTTATTAAAGTGAAGACTTGGGACCCGCACTATTAGTTCAATAGATGTATCTTCTCTCGCTGTTTTGGTATGATGTAAATAATAAGTAGTGTTACAATATTCACTTTTCTTTAGATCTCCATCACAGACGTTTCATCGTGTGTCCTGTGTTTTGTTGCGAAGTCTCACAATTTTAAAACGGTAATATTTGTTTAGCTGGGTTGTGATAATTAAATATGTTGACGTTAATAGGAATTGAATGACTTACTGAGCATATCTCGATGACGAACTAAGTATTTCGTGTAATGTTTTCAGGGAAAATGTTAGTTGCACGAATCTGTCAGGTGTCATTTGCGCCTGTGTTGAAAGCAGCACCTACAAGGTTTCAGTTAATTAGACCATCTGGTCCGAAATCAATTTTTCGAACATTTGCCGATGAATCGCGAAATTCATTTCAAGAACGTCTTGCTAGACGTAGAACTCTTCGTGAGAGAGCTATGGCACCCGCGGGAGAAACCGGTAAGTAATATTTTTTTGGTGTACTTTGGTTACTAAAATGTTGTAAATTGATTTGGAAGCAAGCGAGAAAATTTAAAAATTGTGAATTGCAGCATTTGACATTGGCAAAGGAGCATTAGCTGGAGGATCTGCTCTTGGTCTTGGGGCTTTATGTTATTATGGTCTTGGTCTTTCCAAACAGGCTGGTATTGCTGACCAATATGCGTAAGTGGAACTTTTCTACCTATTTTGCATTGTTTAATGAACTGGAGCACAATCAATGTGTGTGTGAATATTGATACATATATATGTGTATATTTTTTAGTTTGTGGCCAGATTATGTAAAAAAGCGTGTGCATGCTACGTATATGTACTTTGGAGGTTCACTAGTTATAACAGCTGCTGCTGCAGCAGCCACTCTTCGTTCTCCAACTCTTATGAATCTCATGACAAGATCCTCCTTTTTGGTGAGTTTTGTTTTCATTGCTGTGTGCATGTCCTAAGTAGATTACATTCTTATTTAAGGAAAAAAATACTTACACTTATTGAACATAGCATCTTTGTTACATTACTGCAAATTTTCTTAATTAAATCTTGTAGATTTATATGGGTTTTAAATAGACTATCTTGTTAGTCATACATTTCCCAATTTTTGTAAAATTGATTTAGAAGATGTCATTGTTTAGAGATTGTACATTATTTAGAATAGGCATGATGAATGCCTATCATTTTCTGCAGAACTTTGTTTTTGCCCAGAGACTGCAAGATAGCCCTGATGATTATAGCTTTGCTATCGAAAAGATTTTAAGTTAAAATATACTTTTGATATTGGACAACACCTATTATTTACTTAATTCTTTTCTAGGCCTTGGCAGGATCATTAGCAGCCATGATGGGCAGTGGTATGGTTGTTCAAAGTCTACCTTACAAGGAAGGATTTGGAGCAAAACAATTAGCATGGATAGTTCATGCTAGTATACTTGGAGCTGTAGTAGCACCAGTCTGTCTGATGGGTGGACCTGTAGTAACCAAAGCAGCATGGTAAAGAAATATTCATTTGAATAAAGTTAATAATATTATTAAAGAGATTAATTAAAAAGATGGATGGTTTCTAATTTCAATGTATTTGTAAAGGAGTACAATGATTAAGGCTTGGAAGTTAATGCTGTAACAAAGGGAGAAATATGCACACAAATATATTCTAACATTTATAAAATATTTGCCAAAACTAATGAAATATGCTCTAACAATTAACAATTTTAGATATTCATGAACAATTACAAAACTTTTAATTTAACTGGTAATTTTGAATTTTGTCTCCACTTAGTATTCCAACGATAATTTTTAAAGTATTAATTCTAATTCAATAAATTCTTTATTGAAGATAAATTATTTAATAATTCATAATTGGACAAATTGTTTCTGGGTACTAGTGCCACAATGTCATCTAAAAGAAGTTGTGGTTAAAGTAGTGTACATGCTATACCCTTAGAGAAGATGAGAGGGGGTGAAGGGTGGGAAGGGGGTCTCATCTAGCCCTCCTTCAAATTACACTAAACGCTCTGACTGAAATTAATGAAACTCACTGATAGGCGATTTTTATGGCTGTTTGACTGACGATTTTATAACCCAAAGATAGGTCATTACTAATACCTGAATCATACTCATCTTGCTTCCTGCAAACCATGACCCCTTCAGCACAAAACACTTACGCACATGAGGAGCAGCTCCTTTCATGCTACACTTCCACTCGATACCATCACACAAGCACAGACACTCGACACCCAAAAACACAAAGAAACTGAAGAACGCAAGAAATGAGCTGTATGACGGCAATGTAGCTAACCACTTCGACAGCTACCCAACACAGAAAATCTCATAGACAAAAACACGATTTACGTGCCTTCACGCACCATTTTGTAATGAAGTTTCGACAAGATATTAGGCTGCAATTGATCCCCTCCTAAAATTTGACTTTGTTTTTTGTAATGAAGTTTTGACAAGATATTAGGCTGCAATTGATCCCCTCCTAACTTTTGACTTTGTTTTCGTAACCAATTACGAATCAATAAAATTATTTCAGAAATGTATTTTTTAACAATTTTTAATCCCCCACGCTTTGCGTTTTATATGTATGTACTACGTTACGCATAGTGCTCTCCATCCTTCCCCGCCTCATACCACCCTTCGTCCACTCCACCGTGGATTCCCCCCTTGTCGGAGCGGCGTGAACTGCCGGTTTAATCAACTTCCCTAAATTGTACCATATACTAGACTTCAGCCAAAGTTCTGCTGCAATGAAGAATGACATTCCCATGATTTCTCATGAATAGCATTCACATTCACATTTGTGATGTACACTTTTCGGTTTGAGGAGATATATATGCATGCTAATTGAAATTCCAAGAGAAATACTCCACTTTAAGATAAAAAAAAAGCAATAAAATATTAATAATAACTTAAGTATAATGGAAATAAGATGCATTAACACAAACTGCACTAACAATCTTCGATTATGCTGTATAAAATGTCCGAATTTATGTTCGTTTGATTGTGTTTTGTGGGCATTTGATAATTAGCATATAATAAAGCTCATAATTTAAAATTTGATTTTTCATAAACTTCCAAGAATAAATAATTATGAGTAGGGTTTGGATTGTTAGGTTTTAATCTATTTTATTGAATTCTTAGTCATTATTTTAATGCACATATCGTTTTCAATCATTTTTGAGCCAAATATATGAATTCTATATAGTAGTTAAAATAAATTATGATCCTAAAACAACAAATTGCTAGTGTTGATCACAGATAGATGGTGGGGGGGAATAAATTTTTTCTTTTTTTTGTCTAGCATTTCATAATTTTCTCCATATTTCATATATGTACCTATAAGAAAAATTGATAGTCTTAAAGTGTGTTAAATCAACTTTAAAAAAAGCCATAGAGGTTATGAAATTCTAAAAACTTGGGCCTCTTAATTAAGTTCAAGCATTTCCTTTGTGTTCTGTTGTATCTCAATTAGTATTGTCCAGTATTATTCGTTAGAAATATCGGGATGTACTTGTTTGTGATATTAAAATTTTGCAAAAAAAATTAAAACTTTATTTTGTTTTCTGGTTACATACTAGGTATACCCTTGGAATTGTTGGTGGATTAAGTACTATTGCTGTATGTGCTCCCAGTGGGAAATTTTTGACAATGGCTGGTCCATTGGCAATTGGCTTGGGAACAGTTTTCATTGCTTCAATAGGTTAGTGTCCATTTCAATTCACATTTTTGCATTACAATATCATACAGAACATACATTAAATCTTTATTTTCACTTTTTTTAGGATCCTTTTTCTTACCTCCTACATCAGTATTGGGTGCTGGGTTGTATTCTCTTTCTGTGTATGGAGGATTGCTACTTTTCTCTGGATTTTTGCTCTACGATACTCATCGTATAGTTCATGTTGCTGAAAATTACCCTGCTATGATGAATCCACCATATGACCCCATTAACGCGTAAGTATTAACAGAGCTATTCACAATCAAATCCTTATTAAACTAAGAGCTTGTTTAGTTTAAAATACAGCGAAGGTAAAAAGGTATGAATGGAAAAGTTTCGCCTTGGTAATCTCAAAATCCATTGTTGCAGGTGCCTGTCTATTTACTTGGACGTCGTCAATATTTTCATCCGAATGGTTATGATCTTAGGTGGTGGAGGCAACAGGAAGAAGTAAATTGAAATGAAAACAAATCTGAGTACATCCTTTTTGTTTTATTTCCAGCAAAAGACTGACTCTATCATTATTGTAATTAAATTTTCTCATGCTTGTTTTAATTATGACTTTCATGTTTATGAATATTTGTTTATAAAAAATATTAAATTGTGTACAGTAAATATCACCCCAGTTTAAGTATATGCTGTTTTACTTTTAAATGATCTCCCTTTCCATGTAATATTGCAGTGATTTAAAACGTGTCACTGATTTTCTTCAATTTCTTGGGTGTGTTCAAGGAAAGCTGACTAAACTGCTACAATTTATCCAGCATTGTTTTTCAGAAGAGAAAAAACTTTAAATCATGAGGTAAAAGTCTATGCCGCTTTCTGGTATTACATTGCGAGTTTAAATAACTTGATGCAAACATAATTCGATACATAAAATAAATTTGTGAATATTGAACACTGTACTTCTTACATCAAAGATAACAAAAATTCAGTTAAGAGTTTTATTTTCAAAATAGTGGTCAACAAAACATACATAAATATGTTAAATAGCAAATTGAATTTACAATGAAGAAAAACAAAAATAAAATTTAAATATTGCCCTTGTGCAGAAGCACATTTCCATGCAGCTGAGATTCATCTATGTTTATTATAAGTACTGACCAGAACAGGAGGAAAACTAAAAATAGAAATCATGAATACATCCTTTAATCTTTCACCCAAAGCTAATAAAAACTTAAAAGCCATAAGAAAGCTTGCTGTTTGACAAATTACAGGCACCACCACTAACATTGAAATATTTGACAATGACAATGAATACAATTCATTTAATACTTAAGTACAACATGAGTCATGAATCACTTAAGACATTTGGCCCTTCAAAAATGTTTAAAAACATGAGAATGGAGCGGTCTTTTCTAATTTATTATTACAAATTAGTCACATCATAATTTAATATTTTCTTGCACTCAATATAAAAAATGGAAAAAATAAAGTAAGTCTGCTCTGCTCTTCAATCACCTAGACATGCACAACCAAAAACTTGTAATTAACACTAACATCAGACTGAACACTCCACAAACCAAATAGTTCTGATGTTTGTAAATTATTCACACAAACAACCTTGAGGAGAAAGGCAGATTTCTTAAAATTATCTGAATTTAACTGTTCCCACATCTACACTAGCACTTCAAGATCATTATCTTTGATCAAAATTCATGCTGGAAATAACTATATTATTTTCTCAGCACTTATTAGGATCATGAAGATTAAAAATACCTTTACATTTGAAGAAAATAAATTAAAAGGCTTAATACTTTTCCCCATATATTAAACTACAATAATCCTATTCTATGTTCCAATCAAATCCATAAGCTCTTAAGAAGAGCCTTCGTGCCTACACACAGTCACAATACATCACATGATATTTTACAATATTTACATGCAAGTTTAAATAACTTAAACATTCATGTTTTCAGCTAGTATATTTGTAATGCAAATTTTATTACAAAAGGGATAATATTGCATCTAAAGGATATGAGTTGCTAATATTTAAAAGGTGTAAGTCATTTCAAAAAATAATTTAACCTACAATCTTCCCGGTTTTATAAATATACTACTTTACAGATAGATTAAACAAAACTTGAATAATGAAAACGTGTTCAAAACAGGAACCAATTCTTACGCTACATCTGAAAGTTCTCAAAACAGTTACATAGCACAAAAAAATTAAAATGCTGAAGAAAACAAGAGACACAAGATTCTTTCAAATAACTTCCTTTTCTCCAGAGATTCCTCGTTCACAGATTTATATTGTGCTATAATATACAACAAAAAGGTTTTTGGGACAATTATACAAATATCACCATTATTGTTCTCCAATATTGAAAAATCATTCTTCCATAGATTTCACTTACAAGTCCACACATTACCATTCAAAACCTAACACCACATCTAATCTGATGAGAATCATTAATGTAAATTAAGGGAAGTTAAAATTTTTATGGATGAACATAAATTGGTCAGGAATTAAAATTGGAACAATATGAAAGTAAAAGAAAAATATTCTTACATTATATTTCCCCCAAAAAAAGATCACAAAAGTTACTTGATATATTTTAAAATCTTCTTACTGAATAAAATAATAAGAACTTCTCAACTTTATATTTGCAATAATATAATTTTCTATAAAAGGCATTAGTGAATAGTCTCGTATCATAATTTAAAGGGCTGCTCTTTAATCTCATTCCATTAAAAATTTCTCAGTACTTTGAGCAAGTGTCAATGATATGCTCAATATTTCTTTAACTTCCATTGCCTACAAGGGCATTTTATTCAAATGATTAGTAATACTGAACAATTATGTAACACCCTCTTCCAATTGCGATATGCATTTACCAGCATTCTCCACTATTTTCGTTATAAATCTAATCTCATACTTACTTCTACTTTTCATAATAGATACGTACATATCAGTAGCACAGATTTTGGCGAATGAAATATACTTTGTATTTTACACAAGAACATGTATTAAGAAAATGTGCTTTAATGGGGATTCGCAATGTATTATGAGAGGAAATATGGCTAACAGAGTAGCCTCAAATGGTTAGCTTAAGTTAGGCATGATTAAGTATACAATGGTAAAGAATGCATTGCTCTAATATTCTAAAGTCCTAACATTGAAAATTTTGTTTCAAGAAGTAAAGGATTTTTGTAATAATACTATCAATTTTCAAGAGGTTCATAACTGGAGAAAAAATATGGACCTGTGATGTCCAAAAGAGATGCTGAGCAAGTGTAGCTATAAAGACTTATTTCAGTGAATCAGTATAAGTATTTAATTGGAATGTTTTAATCCAATAAATGCAATTTCAAATGAGTTGTATATTGCTATGATAGTCATTATTCACATGGCAGAAAGAATTCAGAACCAATAGCTTTATTTTAAACACAACTGTTTAGTTTGCCATACTTCATAGTAGCACTGTGACACATGTTTTCTAAACAACTGTATCTTATGTCATCTCCATAACCAATATGAATTCCTCTTTCAAAGTTTAACAAAATCTTTTTACTAATTCTACCTTTCCATTCAAGATGCAGCAAAATAATTTAATATATTGGGAAATTATTGCATTTGCTAAAAGGATAACAACTGTTGCACAACACAATTATCCTAAACATGTTCTCTTTATTTTTAATGTATTTTGGAATTTTGAATGCAAATTTGCATGAAATAAGGCTCATCAAACAGTATAATGGAAAGTAGGTCCAATCCATTCAACAACAGCCAATGAATAGCCCATGCATGACATCTCTATTACAAGGAGTGATATAAATTAAAATATAACAATGTATTGAAATTGCCATCTGTTGGAAGAATTTTATGAACAAATTTCAATAATTCATAGAAACAATAGAAGAACACAAGAAAATTCATGTTCGGATTTAAATGGACAAGTATTAAAGTTGTTCTTAATACTTAGTCTACAAAAAAGTGACCAATAAATGAGCCATATCCAAGGTGGAATTGAAATTGAAAATGTAATAAATACTCAACACAAAAATAATTTACTCCTTGGATTATAAATTTATAATTAATTCTACTTTGAAATCAGAAAACTAAGAGGTACTCTCTCTAATTCTGTCATTATCCGAGTGATGTAAGATATGGATTTTGCTATGTTTGTAACAATTAATAATAAAATAATTTTCTGAATATTTCGGGATAAAATGAACAAAACTCACTGATTAAAAACAGTTATTCAATTACATGTTTACAAAAGCTTGTGACACATGCTAAAGGCAGATAATAATGTTGTAAGTCAAAATTAAAGATTCTGGCTTTAAGAGAAACTAATAGTTATCACAGACCACAAAGATCAAATTAAAATAATTGTTCATAAAATCTAATAATGAAAACAAACATAAAATAAGTTGAACTTGAAATGTGCAACACAGATGGGTTCAATGTGCTGAGGGTATGCAGTATATGCCCAAATATTAAAACTAACGAAGTTAGAAGAGATGACACTTTCATACCATTGACTTCAACTACTATGTATTGTCAGAAGAGAGCATCTTCATACATTGAGATCCATTCCAGTATGGGATGTGTTATTATTGAGAGTTGCTTGATGACGCAGATAAGCAGTGTACATTTGCCTGGCATGATTTAAAACACGTGTGACATTATGTTTTCGAACCATTTTGTCAAAATGCATGGCCATTTCATTGTAATCCATTGCGCTTCTCATTATGTGGTCCCTATGTTGTAGGAGTACTGTGAGGCATAGGAACATGAGAAATGGGTTCCCATCACCAAATTTATGAGGAGGAGGTAACTGGATATTGGTACCTGACGATAGCTGCTTTGAAGGAAGAGCATCCTGATGCTTAACAACCTCTGTTTTAGAAACAACATTATTAACACTACCACTTCCACCACCACCGCCTCCACCACTACCACCCTGACTTACTGTCACTTGCTCACTCACTTCCTCACACGAGTTTGTCATGGCATTCACAGGGGCAGTTGGAACATGTTGGATGTCTCTGACACCTCTGGGTTTAGTTCTTGATGTTTGAGAAACAGATTTATCGCCACTGCTACCTTTCAGTCCCAGGGGCTTAAAGTCAGCATGTGAAGGTTTCAGTGGTGTGGATCCTCCCCAGCCATCGGAACTATCACTTGTGTCATCTGTTGGAGATCCTGAGGTTCCAGTGTGGTTTCTACACAAAATTCCACCTCCTGCATTACGCAACAGCCTAATGGGAGTCACAGACTTCACAATTTGTCCTTCATTTTCAAAAATTTCACCAGCACTAATAGAGGAATTAAAACAGCTTTCACCTTCACTACTACTTATAGTTCCATCATATTCCAAGTCTGCCTGCTCATCAGGTGTTGTTGGACACTGAAGTGGATTTTCCCAAACAAATATTTCTTCTCCTGCCCCCAGTGTTGGCCCAGGACTATAATTTTGAGAAAAATTATTTATCTTAGTAATGGGTTCAAGTGATGCTTTGTCTTTCTCTTGGGAATCATCTTTCTCCATTGAATCATTTCTTTGGTCTCCTTTTGAGAAATTAGATTGGTGCCAAGATTTGTCCAAATTTAAAACCAGTCCTTGATGTTTATTAATAGGTGCACTACAAATTTCAGCCACTTCAGTGGTGGTGTCTTCACTTGGAAGATCTGATTCTTGTTTTGACAAAACACAGTCACATTTTTGTACAGTTCCCCCTGGTTCTATTTTCAATTCAATAGACCTAAAAGATTCACTACATGGTGACTCTAAATCTTCTGAATCTTCTAATGGAAAACTGCGCTGGTTAAATTTCTGTCCAAAAACATGACGATCTAAGTTTTCTAGTTCAAGTCTTAATTCTCTAGTCATGGAAGTGGTCATGGGGAAATATTCTGCAGAATCATCCGGTGAACTACAATCACATGGTCCTTCATCACTATTCCTTTGTTTTGAAGTATTTGTAGCCATTTTCAGTGCAACGTCATCTTTTTGAAGTTCATTCTGAGGAGTTAGATCATCCAAGGTGTCACCACTTACTGGAACTGAATTAATATCTTCAATACTGTCTCTACAAGAATCTCCATCACCAGATAAAGTCTTATCACTATCTTCACTAATAACTGAACTTTCTCTCACCATTTGGCAGACTTCTTGTTTTGGACTTAAGGAATGTAGCAGCCTATTTTTATTGAAGGATGCAAAATTAAGAAATTCATTAAGGTTTTTGACTACTCTCTTTTTCTCTGCATTAAACTGGCTTTCTACTTTACTTGATTCAGAAATACTTTTGTCAAATGATGCAAACATACTTTTTGCCTTTTCCGAGGCAAACTTTTCTTTCAGTTCTTTCAGGCGGTCTTTCTTTTCAGCAACCTTTGACAGTAAACTACCTGTGCTTACGGATATTTCACGTTTGGAAGGAATAGACTTATTATTAATTTCATTGTTAATGGCAGTAGTGGCATCATTTTCAGGTTCAGAGAGGGCTTCAGTTGGAGATGTGGACCGAGATTTTGGTTTTTCTGAGCTCTGGCTATGAAACTGGATACTTGTGTCGTCAAGACTAGCAAAAGGTTTCACTCTACCAGTTCTTCTTCCATTTGATCCTATAATTGTTTCATCTAAACTCTGATTCTGACGATAAGCAGCACCAGGGGCTTGCCTTAGCCCTCCTCGAATAGAACCATTTGAGATGGAATGTAATGATGCAGCAGAACTTTGACGTCTTAAAGCGCAAACTTTCGTGTATGCATTTTCACGAGGCGTTTTGAGCAGGGGACTAATTGGAGGAGGTGAATCTCCTGGTGACTGGGAACAAAACTGACGTTCAAATAAGGGTAAATCTTTGTCAGGCGGCATCTGAGGAAGAGAACTCCAAAGAACCTCCAACATGCGTAGAGCATCATCAAATGCAAATTCCCTCTTCATTTCCAGAAGCAGCCATCGATAGCAGAAAAGCAAATCATCAGCCTGCAAGTAAAGACACCATTGTCAGGAGTTTGCATAAATCTAAGATTTCTTCATAAAACTGGATAATTTTATACTTCTTATTTCTAAAGACATGATATTTTTAGGACAATATTATTTATTCCTTAAACCTTTCTACTAAACCTTTCAATTTTGCCATAAAACTGTTCTGTAGAATCATTAATCACATTTTACTCCATAACAAAATTGAGAACTTTGCTTTATATTTTCAACATCATTCATTTAATCTACCAGAAAATGATTTCAATCAAAATATTTTACTGTTTGTATTATTTCTAACAAGTTTCCTCAAATCTCTAGACTTGGGCCCTTAGAAAAAAATCTTAATTATGGTGCAAGGAACTGACCTGATGACCTTTCAGGTAAGCATAAAATTCTGGATCATAATACATGAGACCTTCTGCTAAATGTTGAAACTTTAGAGTCATTGTCACTCCATCCAGCATAAAATTTGTCTGCAGTCTTTTCATTAGAGCACAAAAACAAATATAAGCATGAGCCTCATCACCCATAGTCACAAGCAAAGGGGAAGCAAGATCACTCATTCCTTGGCAATAGCTCACAGTGGGATGGTTTAATGCATAACTGAAAAATAAAAACAAAAACCATTCAAAAACTATATTCTACAGACACTTCTTTCTTTACACATGGAAAACAGCAGTTTTCAATTACATAAAAGAATAGTAGTGTACAATTTTATAAAAGAATAGTAGTTTAAATTACATAAAAGAAATGTGTGTGTTAGTATTAGACAATAGAGCTTCGCTTACGTTGTTAGTATGTTAAAAAGAGAGGCAATATTTTGATTATCATCACTACCAGCATAAAATCTGTGGTGACGATCAGTTCTTAATACATCTTTCCGCACCATGCTAGTCACATATTGCAAATCCCCAGTGACCTGAAAGAAATCACTACTTCAACAGATATCCTAAAAGGCTGCTGATAGAATAAAAATTTTAAAAAGTAACCCAATTCAACCTGTCCATTTTGCACCATGTTCCTCCAACAGTCTCTAAGAGATTGGTATTCTAATGCTTTTCTCTTCATATAGTCCATTCTTTCCTTTCCAGAAAGACCATCTGGATAAACATTCAGGATGTGTTTCCAAACAACTTTTCTGAAATTGGAATTGAAATGATCCACATAGTTTTAAAAAGAAGTTAATTAAAAACCAAAATATAATCTAAATTTTATAACACTTTACTTGCCTGAGGCTAGGTTCAATACCCCCCAAATAAATGACTGTACGAAGTTCTCGAGACTGAACAACTTGGCCAATTGGATCTAAAAATTTACGAAATTCAGCATCTGCCAGAGGTGGTCGAGGTGGTTGATTTGTGATTGAAGTTTGTTGGTCTTCTACTAAATTTAAAGCACGTTGAACCATATTAAAAGTTCGTTCCACTTGATTCATTATGATGCCAGGCAACCTATTCTGAGGTTTGTGTTCAGGTGCTTGAGTACGAACAACATCAATAGGACCTACTTCCCATTCATCACTACTTTCTTCAAATGGTTTCATATCCACTTGCAAGCAAAGGTAAGGATCAGATGCACTAAAAATGAATAACTACTTTAGTATTGAAAATAATAGTGATTAACACAAGAAACTTGAATCTTCAAAAAGTGCAATATCAAATTGGAATAGTTTTTACCTGAGAAAGGCTGCATCCAAATCCCAATCTGAGAGCAAAGGAAGAAATGTTTCTTGGCCATAGTCATCGAATGTTCTATAGCACACAGTGAAATCCCTACAATGAGAGAACACACATATTAATGATTATCTTAGCATATGGATGCTATGAAGTTTACAAAAAATTCATCTTTAGGCTCACCCTTTAATGTCAAAAGCTTTTGCTAAAAGACTCTGGAGAACCTCAAATGAAGTTATCTGAGGATCCACACTAAATTTTCTGTATTCTGGTTGCAGAAACCCCTCACATTTCTGGAAATCAATCAACCCTCAGTAAAAACTAGAATATTCATTCTCAACTGATATATAATACCAACTAGTACTGAATATTTGCACTCTTAACTTTCTAAATAAGCGATCAAAATTGAGAATGTCTAGAAAAAAAAATGTATTACCTTAACTTTGACACGTATCGCTTCCCGGCTATACACGAAAATACCAGCCATTCTTACTAATAAATTTAACCACAGAAAGCCACGTAGAAAAACCTTAAATTATAATCTTCCTTTACATTTCCCCTTTACACAGATCACATTCCCCACAAATTCATAAATGTCACCTAAGCTGTCAAATAGAACCGATTGAAAGTAAAAATTATTTTAAAATCTTCACATTCGTAACGTCTTCGCAGATACATTGCTCCCATGTTTAAAATCTCCCGAATATTTTTTTCAGTATTTCATGCATATATTTTGACGTATTTACGTTCTCTACTATGGTTAGAGACCTGTCGTTCCAAGGACAGGTGCCTAAGCAGCTGAATACACCCACGGCACTTCTACCGGCTGCAGCTGGTACTAATTTTGTCTCCAAACTGCAGTGAAGCAGCACCGCGGGAGGCAGAGGGGGCAATAAACTCTGAGCGCGCCAACATTTAAATCGTTTCTCCAATTCGTAAGATGGGAAAATACTGAGCATTTCCCATGTAAAAACAAAGAAGTAATGAATTTCAATAATATCGTTATATCGAGAATTATTTTATGTTCTTCTATTTTTATCAAGAAATAAAACTTAATAAAATAAATATGAAGAGCAATTTTGCAGAACGCCATATTTTTCTGAGACGTATAGTTAATATAATGGATAATGCCTTAAACAACTATTTATTGAACGACACATTAGGTAAAGGGTATTCTTGAAAAATAAACTAATTATGTTTTTTGTTCTTTCATTTGCCCAATTTTCTGAGTGTTATAAGGGTATGTTCCATGTTTATGAGTACTCAGTTTTCATTACTCCAAATAATAAATAGATTTTTATTATAATTCTATTTCATTCAAGTTTCACTCGCGTTATTAGCAAGGAAGTTTTGATGTTTTCTAAACCTTATCAATAACTTGTGGTGTTACAAAAGTTTCAGAATTTCTCGTTCTAGTTAGTTCCATTTTCTTTTGAGCAACGGGAGCAACCTTCAAGGTTTGTGCAGGTCCTCAATTAAAGATCCAACTTTGTAGAACAGTTTTTCATTAAGAGAAAAATATCTACTTTGATTGTTGTAGCTACAGGAATATGCCCAAACAATTTTAAACTTTTGCAATTTTCGAAAATTTAGAGTTCAAAGGAAATTGACGCCATTTTTATAAGCACACTTTACTCTCTCCGGGAGATAAAAATAAGGAATTGGAGCCATTTTTGAAGAACAAAAATTGAATAAGATCTAGCGAATTTATGTAGAATACCCTCAAAATCAAAATATCCGTTTCAAATTCAAGGGACCGCGACATTAGCAAGACAAAAGTTTGGTAAAAATCCTACCTACCCTGGCGTTGTTCACAGACAGATTTTCGGTTCTAGTAACCCACAAAAAGGGGATTCTGACAATATAAAGTATTAAGAGAAGGTAATTTACTACATGTATGAACAAGGTTTATTCACTTGTTTGGTACCAGGAACGCACAAAATGAGTTTTTCTGTCGAAAAATCAGGTTTTTTACTGCAGCATTACAATACTTCCTTTGCGGTATGTAATCCTCTCCTATCTGAGAAAGTAAAAATTCAGCCTCACTCGGGTTCCCTATTTACAGACCAGTGCGCGGGTTTCGAAGTGCCCAAGTACTCTTCCTCGCAAGCCGGAATATAATCATATTAATTGTATATTAATTAATCGTATAAATAATTATTAATTATTAAATAAATGTTTATTAATTATATCAGTTATTAAATAATTATTATTATATTAATTATAATCCCGCTTTTATACCTCCCAGTCTGTCTCATTCACTAGTGCCGTTTGTAAACATCTTATGTAATACTTAAGCTGTGAATTTACAAACACAAAAAGTGAAAATAAAAACAAAAAAACTAAAAATATGCAGGCAAAATAGGCAATCAAAAATGTAAAATAGGCACTTCGAAAGCGCTACACATTTTTTTATCCTTGTTTATGAAGTAACCATAATGTAGTTACCTTCATGGAATGATTGCTTTTGTCATTGTTCTGACAAATCCTCGTAGAAATCCTTTCTTTCGTTATTGGGCATTTGGGTCACAAATTCGCCTCACCTCGTCTCGCCTCGCTGCGCGCGGCGCTTCCGTCTTGCTTTTCACCAAATGCAAGCTGATACTCTTATGCTGCACAGTATGATCTTCTTTCTCATACTTAATTTAAACATAATCGAAAAGATTGTACAATTTGTTTTAATCGCCATTCTTAGCAGAAATTTTACAACTAGAGATGTTACAATAGCACATGAAGTAGTCAGTTGGAATAGATTTCTCTGTACTCTGCAGGATAAAAAAGGAAAAGTACGTTTTAAAAAAATTTATTAAGTATAATTGCTTTTTGATCAATAAATATGAGATTATACAACATTTAAATATAAAACAGACATTTATAAGTGAAATAGGCATTTATAGGCACTAAAAAATTCGCATATAATACTCATAATGCCACAAAATGAACACGGAACCTAAAATATTTCATTTTCCATTGAAGAAAAAAATAGGTAAATACGCAAAAATCTATAGCTTAGTTATAATAATATTACAAAAAATAAGGTGAATACGAAGAATATTATCGAATTATATCGTACAGAAAGCTGTGAAGGACTGCGGCTTCAAGGAGTTGGACCATTCACCCCACAATCCAGTTTGGACACCCAGCAATTAAAACCACTAATGAAAAAAAAGACCTTCAAAGAAGAATATTTTCAGATGAGTGTGAGGTGAAAGAAGCAATTTTTGACCGTTTTGCGAACAAAGCTTCGGAGTATTTTTTAAAAGCATAGAAATATTAATAAATATATGTGAAACGTGGGTAGGAGTAAAGGATGGTAACGAATATGTGGATAAATCCACTCGCTAAATTTAGAGAAAAAAAAAAACTCCTGGTGTAGCCAGAATCCATGTTTTCAGGGTCCTTGATATAGACAAATCGAATGAAGGCAAATCTGTCTGTCCGTTTGTCAGTGAACAACGCTGGCGGCTGAACAGTTCAACCAATTTTCTACAGAATTTATGCCCCCAATCGATTCCTACAACTACAATGAAAAACAGATATTTTTCCCTAAATGAAATCTGTTCCTTAAAGATAGAATTTGAAATAGGGTCATGTACAATTTTTCAAAAATTTGAGTAATTTCCGCGTAATTATGCGTGAAAGTAGTGCAGTTTGAGCACCGCTAGTTTCCTTTGTATCACAAATAGAAGACAGTGAGGCCAGAGGCCTTACGGAACCATCCTGACAATCCTTCCACAACTTCTTATCCTAACTGGAATCTGTGGGTGCAGTCTATATCTTTAATTGAGGAACTGGATCTGACAATGGTTCCAGTACCGACGTACGGCCAAGGAGCAAATATGAAAAGGCTCAGGACCGAGATAGGTCTATGGGATGTTCAGGTGCCCTTCGCTGGAGTTGTGCGCACCGCGAGGGGCCCAGAAAGAGACTGGGGTACAACCAACTAGAACTGATGTGGTCTGCTGGCTTCACTACAACCTGGTTCACAAATTGCCCGTTGGCTTTCAAAGCCTCTGGGAGCAGGTCCGCAGAGAGAACATTTGCGCCCCGATACAAAGGTGAGTAGGCTCTAATATGAAATTCCACAATCGTGTATGTGAATATGATTATATTTACAACGATTATAATACAAAAGTAGATAAGACCTAGTGCCGACCTGGATGGTCGAGGTGTCTAAGAGCTCGTACCGACTCGGCTCTTCGGTCCGAAGGGTCGCGGGTTAGAGTCTCGCCTTGGGCACGGTTGTTTGTCCCTTGCCTCTCATGTATGTGTTGTATCGGAGGGCCTCGCGTTCTGCTGACCAAGATAGGAAGAGCCCGCAAGTGAGTTGGTGTCTAGTGTGAGGTCGAATATGAGTCCCGTCGGAGTGCAAAGGGTAACAGCATGTCAGATGGAAAAAGCCCGAAGAAGAAGAAAAGACCTAGTACGCACTTGAGCACTCGACTGTTCACACTTACGCTTAGTCCGCTTTCTCAGATTCGCATTGTCTCGGATGTAATCTGTGTGTGCGCACTTTGGCACTACAGCTCCTGCGGCCATGGAATAAGGGGTACGCGTGGTTAGCTCATAGATATCCCTACGCGAAAGGCGAACTTTCTCATCGTCACACAGCAACAGAAACTGAGACATTGCAAGGAAAGCGCGCAATTAATATTTGCCCCGACCGGGAATCGAACCCGGGGTTGCGCCGTGGAAAGCGAGCACACTTACCAATGAGAGACACCGAGGGCACACCCTCGGGCTGGTCCTGAGGAAGACCGCGATAAGATGGTCGAAACGTTGGCAACCCAGCCTTCGACGCGGCGTCACCCGGACAGTCAAGATCATGCACATGACTCCGGCCGCGGAAGCCTACGACTTCACTGCACTAATTATGCTTATGTCTCTTTTAATTATTTAATTAAACGAGTATTTTTTCCATTGAATGAATATTTTTTGTCAATACATCATTTTATAATAGTATATTGAAAATTTCAAAACAAGAAATATCCTTCATCTTGAATTTTACGGAAAGTGCTGCAGTTAGAGTATCAACATTCAATATTGATTTCCTGCTTGTCCAAAAATCTGAAATACTAAAGCTGAAACTACTGAAAACGGTGAGAATTCCTCAAATCTAGCAACACTAATCGCATCTTTCTGAACTGTACCGCCACAAATTGCGTAACATTTCGGCGTGGCATCTCTGAATACAGAGATTATCACAATTGTTTTAAAATATCGAAAAGGAGAGTAGGTAGGAGAACACTTTCTGAGGAAGGACAGAACCTACAAAAGGAGGACGATTGGTCACTTTAGTGTTATATATGTCAGAATGCAGAATATATTTTTTAAACATCTGAAAATCAAGAATTTGGGAGTTGTAATCAAAATCAATGGTTTAGTAGATTTAAATTTGACCCAATTTAAAAAATACCATCGGCCTTGGAAGTTCGTGGAATTTCGCATCGAACTTGTTAGTTCATAGCACTATCTTAAACAGACCACAAGATAATTACTTTTATTACATTTCGTTTTTCTGTACAATTTAATCAAAGCATTCTTCGGCTTCAGAAGACCTCTTTCAGTAATGAAGAGACCTTCACCATTTCTTCAAAACGAGTAAGTGTTCGAATACTGTTCCTGCTTCCAACACCTGTTGATTTATCGTACAATATAAGCCGCGTGTCTACTCACGCTAATGGCGTCTGCTGAAGCGTTAATAATGTATGACTTCATTCGCGAGCGGATCATTACAGGTAAATACCTCCATATGTGCACAAAACCTCCGCGGAATTCATGCTCGATCAAACATGTACTCTCTTAAAATTGTATTAAGTTATACATTTAGTATAATACTCGTAACTTAAAAGTAGGTTCTCGGAAAATCATTAACTGGACAAAGAAAGATGGAGAAAGGACATTTTTGTTTCGAAACTGAAAAGTTGCATTGTAGCTCCAGCATTTAGAGACATGAATGAGAAAGAAAGAAAAATAATTTACATTTAATTAAGACTTTTAAAAAAATCATGTGAATTTTCGGGGGCTTATACAAGATGGATATTTCTGTCAGAAACGTCTCTGAATACTCTTGTGGTACCTGCCACAGACAATACCAAATTACCTGCCCTCCAAAAAGCAAACTGGCCGACAGGTACGATCAAGGAGGGCAGAAAGTTCAATGAGTATCGGATATGAGCCATTTTTATAAGCTATTTTTAAGAAAAAATAATTTAAATTAAAATTCAAGAAGCAATTGGAGCCGTTTTTGACAAAATCTTGTTTTTAATATTGCTCTTTTTATACAAATTTACGCGAAAACTACTCATATTTGGGGGGGGGGGAATACTGATCTTATTTACATATCTACTTTTCAAAAGTATATATTATTATGAACAAAACCAGTATCTTCAATATCGTATTTATAGAAAGACGCGGAAAAAACTTTTGCAATTTTAGAAAATAGGGGATTAATCAAAACTGAAACATTTTTAAAAGCGTACTTTGATCTATTCGACGAAATTAGAAAAAAAAAGTTTAAACCTTATTGAGAACATTTTCTGGGACTTCAGGGGAAGTCCTCTAAAATCAAAATATCCGTTTTGATGAAAATTCTGCATACGATTTAGCCGTTAGCGTTCTTTATAAACAGATGGGCGGACAGCCGTAAACCACATTCTAGGTGTCAAGGACTCATTCTAGGTATCAAGGAGACACATTCTAATTTGTTCTAGCTTGATATTCGGACAGCCACCTGCTTTTGCCAGCTACCATCTATCGCCGCCCGAAGTATATTTTTTTTTAAAAAAATCGTAATTCTTGGTTTCCTAATAGTAGAATATAAATATTACTTAAAAAATATTAAAAACAGTAAAACATCATCCTAAATGGCACATTTTCTTTGAAAAAATTTGTAGCCATTTTTAAGAAAATTGCACTTTAGCAGTAAAGATACAGTAAATTCGAAATTTCAAGCACTTTTTCATAGAAAAGAATTGAGTTTTCGAAAAACTTCATTTTAAGTGATTTGAAGCTATTAACTCACAAATACAATAGTGTTTACAAATTGTTGGAAATGGGCATATTAACGGCGTGAAAGATCTTTAAAAATCATATTTTTTTAAAAAACAAAAGAATACTCTGAAATGAACTTTACCTTATATTACAGAGTCCAATTAGAACTACCCTTTTGAGAAGTTTGAAGAAAAAAATTTTGAGCCGTTTTAGAGAAAATGGCGTTTGAGCGTTTCCGCAAATGCGGAAGTTTGAGCTAGTTTTCACAGAAAACTGTTGAGTATTCGACAAACGTTATGTGACATTATTTAAAGCACATGTACTCATAAATATAACAATATAAACAAATGACCACTAGTGTAAATCTTAAAGACGTGAGAGACAACTAAAAAGAATACATTTTCATAATGTTTGAAAGAAGAAACGAATAGAGCAATATGGCGTTTATGTCATCTTACAGAGTGCAATTAGGGCAATCCATACCAAACGTTGAAAGAAAAAATGTGGAGCGGTTTTTGAGAAAATGTTGAAAATATCTCAGAGGCTTCATGTAATTTTTGAAACATTGCACGCAATATTGCGCGAAAACGATTAAAACGTTAAAAAAATGTACATGACCTTATTGAAAGAACAAAGTATGGGCAACAAATTTTATTTGAAGAAAAAAATACCTTTATTTAATTGTGTTGTTGTAGGAAAACACCCAAAAAAATCAAACTTTTAATATTAAATAAAATTTTCGAAAATTCAGCGATAACCGTGAAAATCGAACCTATGCCACTTTCATAAAAGCATTTTACTGTATTCTTATAAGAAATTTAAAGAAAAAATTTGAGTCATTTTTGAGAAAATTTTGAAAATGTCCAAGAGGCTTCTTGTAAAGTACCTCCAAAAACTACTGAATGATTTTCAAAATCGAAGAGTATCGACTCAGGCCAAATGGACAGGGATTTCTTCAATTTGGAAAAAAATCCTTTGCATGGTTTAGGTGCTAGGGTTGTTCACTTACTCCAGACAGTGGGAGGGACAGACACACGGACGGACAGACAGACAGACGGACGTTATAAAACAACACTTTTTCGGTATCTGGAGATCCCCAAAGCGCGTATTTCCGTTGAAATCTCGAAATCGATTTTCAGCAGCATTACATAACTTTGCCTATACTACTTATATTACTCCGTATATACGTACATACGTACAAAGTAAAAATACTACATATCAGTGATAGCGTTATTTCCGTTAACATTTTGACATCGATTTTTGCAGTATTGCGTTAATTTCTATTCACTACGTATTCTACGTAATAAAATATGTATTTTATTTACAATTATTACAAACTGAATACGAGGATAAAATGAATTGCACGTTATTATTAATCCTCCTGAAATCCCCTTGAACCTCAAGAATTCAACGCGATCCCATGATCATTTTACGGTCTTGCCAACTTCTGAGCAGACAAAGTATAAAGTCACTACATTTAAGTTCATGGTTTACTACTAAAAATTTGCAATTAAATACCAGAATGTATCATTTATTTTTTAGTGATTCATGTGCATATATTAATTGAAAGCAAAATAGTGTTAATAATGACACAAAAAATTCACTAATTTTCAACAAGTTGGTTGACTCACGTTGGACAGCTGTAATTAGATGTCAACGTGACAGTTTGTACATCTGGAGTTGGGTTTTGCCAAGTTTGGCGTTTTATAGGCGTTTGTAAACTAGATTTTTGGTAGGTCTCTATAAATTATTTTAGTTCACGTTACACATTCCATTATATCGTTGATTACTAATATAATATGTGAAAAAATATATTGTTAACTGTCTTTCATTGTTAAGTATATGGAGAAGAGGCTTGAAGAATATAGGGCTCGCAGGAGAAATGAGCAAGCCTTATCAAATGTTAGTAGTACATCAAAACAGACAGTTCCCGTCATGACGTCGGCAGGGTCGTCAACGACAGTGGGCCAAGACCGTCTGGTAATCAGAACCTATTTTTATAAAGTCCCTATTTCTCCTATGGTAACAATGTATAATTAACATTGTTCTAAATTGTATTATATTATATTAAAGTGTGTTTGCATTTCAGGTGAACGACGTGCCATCAGATACAGAATCATTGATATCTAATGCCAGTGCATCTGTAATAGAAGAACCACCCAAATCATTATCACAAACTGATATAGCTATTTATGTGGTGTCTGCAATATTCTGGTTAACTGTTTATGCCATCGCTATACATTTTGAATTCGGTGCAGTGTATTTTGTAGTTTCATTATTGTTTTTCATATGGAAAAATACAAGGACAGGTCCTAAGAAGAAAAATGAAATAAGTGCTTATTCAGTTTTCAATCCAAATTGTGAAGCTATTGATGGAACATTGAAAGCAGAACAATTTGAAAGAGAAATTCGCTATGGGCCTGCAAGTGTACATTAGTTTTGTTTAGAATGAGAAATAGGAATTTATGATAATTTATTTATAATTTTGTGTTGTGACTGCATTTGGTCTGTGTGCCGCACAAAAAGAGGGAAAAAGAAATTTCAATGAAGCATAGTATTTTGTACATATTGTTTTTAAAACAATGAGAACCCATCTGAAACTTTTATTCAGTATTTGTGCTGGTAGCATAAATGCAACAATGATTTCCAGAATATGTAACCTATCTTTTTGTGGTTGTGAAATTATAAAAAAAAAAACAATAGTGAATTAAATGGTTCTCTTTTGCATTCTTGTTTTTCTGGTCCACCTTCATGAAATGCATTTTTTTTTTAAGATTAAGGTAAATTTTATTTGATGTAATTGCTTTTTTAAACATTAGCAAAGCACATAAATGTGTACTAACCTCTGAACTACCCTATTAATGTATTCACATATAATGCCAATATCTTTTCCTTATCCTTCTTCACATTCTGTTTTGGCCTTCCTTACCATGAAGAGATTCAACTGTGTGCAATGTTACTTCAACTGTAAAGTGTGTGCGCTGGTAAATCTCGTTCACTAGACTTGTCTTTTGCTCTCATTGCTGGAAAATTCAACAAAACATCACACCACACTTATGTTTCTATCAACAACTGATTGTGTCTGCAGAGTTATTTTGAAAATGCTACAATTGATACAAGAAATCAGTTTTTAATACTTTCTGAAATACTGTAATTCTATGAATATAATTCATCCCAAACCTGGTTATACAAGTGAAATCTTGAAGTGGAACTACTTTATATATATATTTATATCATATATTATGTTAAGTTAAATCATATATTACGTTTCATCAACGTCACTAAAGTTTTCTGTTCATTCACAATGAATTCTAAAACCAAATAAATTTGAAAATAGCTTAGAATGCTTTGAATAGCTTTGAAAATAGAATTCATACATTTATATATTGAGGGTAAATTTAAGCTATTTTCAAAACAGTTTTGGTTTTAGAATTCATTGTGAATGAACAGAAAACTTTAGTGACGTTGATGAAACGTAATATATGATTTAACTTTATATGTTAATGACACTGACACAATGTAATAATGTGTTAAGTATGAAAATGAAGCTGTATTGTCAGAAGAAGATTGTTAGCAATTTCTCAGAATCATTTCACGTGAAGCCTCAGTTTATGATTGGTTTTTGCAGATAATATTAGTGTGGAATTATATTTCGCAATGTATTCATAAGAAATAAGTTTTTGATGTTTCTATTAGGAACCTAAATACTGGTTGCCATGGAATAAAGAAAAAACATTTTAATATTGTTTATTCTATTTATGAACTGGAAATTCATTATAATAGGGTGGGGAATAAAATTTACTGCACACACAGTAACATAAGTGAAAAATGTGCATTTGCTGAAGGGTTAATGATACACGACTGCTGTAGGCCTACATGAGAGTAACAAGGCCTCAAACAAGTAACATATGTTAATTGTTTTGAAATTTAGTATTTAAATCATGGATTATTTGTTTATAGTCTTTTCGAAATTGAAGAATGAACATGGAGTAATGCAAAAAGGTTTAAATAATTAGAATGTCATTACCGACTTCAAAAGATAAGTTTTTGGTTTCTTTTGTGAATTGCTTTGAATGACTATAAAAATTAGTGAATATAATTTCACTACTGAACAATAAAGTTACATTTTTCATAAGGGTAAGGACATTAACGGAATAGGTAATTATTTGAATGAATAGAAATTCTTGTTCTTAGAAAGAAAACAAAAATCATGTATTACCTGTTCAGAGATACTAAGAACCGGTTTTATAGTGAAAAGTATAAACAGTATAAAAAACAATATAGGGTAAAACAGAAAGCTTATCAAATAAATAATAAAGTTAACAACTCAACAAATACATCTAAAACATCATGGAATATAATCAACGGTGGGAAAACTCAGTCTCACAAAAACCTACACCTACACACATACACCATGAAGGCATATTTCTTGATAATCCTTCAGATATTTGTAGGACCTTTCACTGTCATTTCTTAAATTCAAAGCAGAACATTGTAAACAATAATACTATTAATTCCTTATCTTCTGGAACTTCAAAATCCATGTTTCTCCATCATACAAATGCAACTGAAGTTAATCAACTGATAAATTCCTTCAAAAATAGTTGCTCAACTGGGAATGATGAAATATCTTCAATGATTCTTAAAAAATGTAAGCCTGCTCTTCTTAATATATTAGTTTACTTAATAAATTCATCACTAGCTGCATTCACTTTCCCAGAATCCCTAAAAATTAGTATCGTAAGACCACTTGCTAAGAATGTTGGGAATTACCAACCTATAACTCTTAACTTCAGTATTTGTCAAACTCTATGAAAAAGTTATATTAGCAAAACTTAATTGTTTTCTTGAATCTAATAATATCCTTAATAAAGCACAACATGGCTTCAAGAAGGGCTTCTCCACCACCACTGCTGTTGTAGAGTTCATACATGAAACCATTGGAAATTTGGAATCAAATAGAAAAACAGCTGGTTTATTCATGGAATAAGGGGTAGAGTCAATGACCTCATTAGATCATACCTCACAGGTCGTAAGAAATGTACAGAGATCTGGCAATCTGAAAATTTCTTAACAAAAGTTAAATCAAATTTTGATACAATTACATCTGGTTTTCCGCAAGGATCAGTGCTTGGACCTCTGTTATTTCTATTATATGTTAATGATATTCCAATCTCATCTGATTTCTCTGTAATTTCTTATGCAGATGATACAACATTAATAAGTCGTGGGTAAAATCTTTGTCATCTAGAAGCTAATCTGACTGAATCATTAAAATCAATTAAAAGTTATTTGTCCATAAATGAATTGGAATTAAACGTTGATAAAACTGTAATCAATTTTAAGTTTCATCACGGTCACTAACACCAAAACATAAAAGTGGAAGTAGACAATGAATCAGTGAACCAAACTGATTGTCATAAATTCTTAGGAATATTCATAGATGAAAACCTAACATATAACAAGTTGATACATTTTGTAATAAAATAAACTCTAATATATTCCTCTTGAGATACTTTTCCAGATACCTGGAAATTGATGCACTTATTTCGGTATATTATGGGACAATCTACTCTCAACTTCAATACAGCATTGAAATTTGGGGTGGTACAACACAAAAAAATATGGTAAGATTAATGGTCCTACAAAAGAAATGTGTAAGAAGCATTTTTAAACTGAATCCCAGACAGTCCTGTAAATATTTCTTTATTAAATATGAATTACTCACTGTTGTAACACTCTACTCTTACAAAGTATTTTTACTATTGACAAATAATCAAAATCAATATTTTGTGAGCAATAAAGAGATACATAAGCACCATACTAGAGGACACAGGGACTATCACATTATATCACAGGATATATAATAGCAACTCTTCAACTACAAAGATCCTTTCTGCATTGCTGCACAGCTCTTTAATATACTCTCAGTTAAAATAAAAACTGCTTATGATATATACTTCAAAACACTGCTTAAACTTCATCTTATTAGTGTGTGTCCATAAAAGATATCTGAATTGCTTTAACTTTCTGTAATTAAAAATCATGTACCGCTACAAGAGTGACCACTCTTTGCATCTGTCATCATTCAGTCCAATACAGCAATGCACTATTCAGTAATGTCGTAAATAATGTAATTATATGTCAAGATATTATAATTAATGTAATTATTATCATTAATCGTACATGTAATGCATTAATGTTATTGTAAGTTAATTAAACTGCTACTGTAAGATAAGGAAATTACTTACTCTAGTAGATTATGATAGTGGCAAATAGCTTACAATAAGTTTATTGTTAACGTTATTTGTTATGTGTTAATGAGGCTTGGTGTAGTTTAAAATGCAATTTACCTTAATGTTTATTATGAGAAATTGCATTATTACTCGTGTAATTCACTGAGTAAACAAACATTCTAGGCCAATGACCCCATCTCGATCAGGTTTTGTTCAGTTTCCCTGGTCCTTTGAGCAAATGCTGAGATGGCCCTTGTTTGCTCCTGAACAGTAATGGTAACTTCGCTCTCTCCACCAAGACGTCATATTGACTCGTCATACACGATTGTAATTGTATATGTGACTCAATATATATTATTATTATTATTATTACTATTATTATTATTACTATTATTATTATTATTATTATTATTATTATTATTATTATTACTATTATATATATTATTATATTATTACATATTATTATTATTATTATTATTATTATTATTATTATTATATTATATTACTTCATTCTTCTTATTATTTATTATAATTCATTATAACTTAAATTAATGTAATTGTCAATATTAACCAATTAGGAATGTTTTTATCATATAATTTAGAAAAATAATGTAAACGTATTACATTATTACTGAAAGTTAATGAAATTAACTTACTGTTGTTTTAATTAATTTCTAGACTGACTTTGTTTGATGCTTTATGTAAGTTTATTAGCAATAAAAATTAGAATAATAAAATAATAATAATAATAAAATAACAATAATAAAATAATAATAATATAATAAAATAATAATAATAATAATAATAATAATAATAATAATTATTATTATTATTATTATTATTGTTATTTCTAAGATGTTTAAGATTAATAAATTGTTAGGCTAATTAATAAAAAGTTAGGCTATTATGCTGAAAACCTGCTGGGTGGGGCATATTTGCAATAATAATAATTGTAGCCAAACTAAATAATAAAATGCATGGTTTCTATGAGCTTCAATCACCTTTAGCTCTTACATCTTTTGTCTATGCATTTCAAATCAGTGATTGAGCAATATAAGGCAAAGAGTGGTGATATCCTTTATTCTCATGCCTACCAGATTCCAAGAACAGAACAATTGAAATCAAACTTGCAAAGTTGTTGGTCATCACTTACTAGACACTACATGTATCACATTGCTTTTGAGATTATATCTTGCTAAGCAATGTATTTGTTACACTGTAGTTTTATTTGTCTTTCTTATATACATGCCAATTTTTCTTTATTGCATTATTAAATATGATGACTGATTTATGGCACATGGGTGGCAGACCCCCATGGCTCCCATGCCCTCCCTCCTAGATCCACCAGTGCTTACAACAAAAATTTAGAAACGAAATGTAAGTAGTAGATTGTTAATGTAACATTTTCATCCACCATTCACCTTCAATTTTCCTAATAAATAGCCATGTTAGTATTTTTTTTCCTTCATTTTTTTTGTTGGATATTTTAACATTTGACTTGCATATTTTATGCATTTTCTATGCATATTAATATGTTGATTTCAACCTTTTTTTTTTGCATACAATCTGGACTTAATTCACAAGAAACGAAATGAGGTTCTTAAACAGAATAATAGTAGATCACAACCGAAGTTTGTTTTGAGATAAAGTTAGTTGTCATTGTGAACTGAATTCGTGTCGTCATTTTCAGGTGATTTTTAGAAGACTTGATGAAGGACATTTTTAAACAATAATAAAATATTATTCTTTAATTTAATTTAAATTCAGTTCTTGTGATTTAAATTACATACTTTTGGACAATTATAATTCATTATTGTTATAAGATTGTTGTTCAAAAAACATTGATACATAGTGACTTTTTGCATATTTTTATGTGTTAAGCAAATGTGGTTAATTTTTTCTTTTTCAGGGTAAAATTGGAGATCTGCCTACAGTTCTAAGAATGTTTAATTATGAGATTCGATCTAACCTGAAAAAAACAACAACAACAAAAAAATATTGAAAAAAACAACAACAAAAAAAGGCAGGATATTTTACCTGGAAAAGAGTGGCCACCCTGAAAATTATTAATTTGATTTGGATAAGTTGTAAAAAAAATTGCCAATTTGTTTCTTCCCCAGTTAAATTTTGAATATGAACATAAGATTTTTAACTGGTATTTCTTTACAAATATGAGAAATATGAAGAATAAATTGCCTAGATCCTATGCAGTGAAGTTGCTGTTTTATGTGGCCTTTTAATATTTTGTTTTAGCCTTAATTGTGGAAACATGTACTATGTTATGATGTTCTTTTGGAACAAGGTATTGCTTTCAAAATGTTTTTGTAACAAAACATTTTAAATTCAAAATAGTTGGGGAAACTCTGTAAACTGATATTCAAGTATGTATTCAGACCTAGCAAATGAAAAGACTCATAATTTAATTTTATGTTATGAAAGTACTATTTAAATGAGTATAGTAAAAGATAAAATAAGAATGATTTCTTGTCAACATAACACCCAAAAATTAAAAGAAATTTCTCTTTTTAATTTTTATTCCATGCTTACACCTTCCCAAGGAAACTTTTAACTTGTTATTATATATAACATTATAACATATAATGTAATAACTAATAATATTTTACATATAATGTAAAAACTTGTATTATCTGGACCACATTGCTATGTGTAATATTCTTTTTTAGTAAATGAAAGTTGCAAAACCAAAAATAAAATTATTAAAATGTAATTATGTTTTCAACACAAATATATTTACCTGCAAAAATGTTATAAATGTACAGAAATGTTTGTTATCAAAAATCTAATTAATACTTAGGAATTTTTTTTGAATATTGCTTTTAATTTTAG